CTTGGGGGGGGGGGGGTTGTCATCTTGTGGGCATGGAACAGGTGTGTGTGTGTGTGGGGAGGTCGTTGTGAATTTCCAGCCTTGTGCAGGGGGGGGCTGGACCAGATGACCCTGGAGGTCCCCCTTCCCGCTCTGTGATTCTATGATTCTATGACTGCAAGCTCTCTCATCTGACCAGCATCCCCCACGCCTCCCTCGCTTCAGCCCAGAGGCAGCTTCTTTCCAAGTAAAGGCTTCCATGCCTCCCTTTCCCACGCTCATTCTGAAAGGCCAGGCGCCTGGGCTTCCAGCGCCGCCACCTGGGGCCTCTTACCTTGCCGCTCATCTCCTCATCCCACCATCCGCCTGAGCAACTCAAACTGGGCTGCAGTGAGACCGTCTCGTCTTGGGGGATGGCCCAAACACACAGCGAGCCGTTCTGGCAGCCTCTAGACGGAGAGAAGGAAAGGCCTGTTGGGGAACGACGGCTGGCCCTTGGACGGACGTTCCAGAAAGGAGAACGTGGTCATGTAGTCGAGTATCTCCAGGGGGGCGGGCAACTTTTGGAGGGGAAGGGCTGGGAAAATGTCGTAGTGGAAGGAGGAGCCAGTTTGGTGTAGTGGTTAAGTGCGCGGACTCTAATCTGGGAGAACCGGGTTTGATTCCCCACTCCTCCACTTGCAGCTGCTGGATGACCTTGGGCAAGCCATAGTTCTGATAAGAGCTGTCTTTGAAAAAGGGCACTTTCTGTCAGAGCTCTCTGAGCCCCACCTACCTCACAGGGTGTCTTGCTGTGGGGAGGGGAAGGGAAAGGAGTTTGTAAGCCGCTCTGAGACACCTTTGGGTAGTGAAGGGCGGGGCAGAAATCCAATCTCTTCTTCTTCTTCTTCTTCACCCAAAGAGTGATTAACACGTGGAATTCACTGCCATAGGAGGTGGTGGCGGCTACAAGCATGGACAGCTTCAAGAGGCGATTGGATAAACATCTAGAGCAGAGGTCTATCAGTGCCTATTAGCCACAAAGTATAGATAGGAGCTCTCGGTCTAGGGCAAGGGATGCTCTGTCTTCTTTGGGGGGGCAACAGTGGGAGGGCTCCTAGTGTCCTGGCCCCACTGCTGGACCTCCTGAGGGCACCTGGTATTTTGGGCCACTGTGTGACACAAGAGTGTTGGACTGGATGGGCCACTGGCCTGATCCAACACTGGCTTCTCTTATGTTCTTATGTGTCTGTAAGGTAGGTGGGGCTGAGAGAGCTCTTTCAAGAAGTGCTTTTGAGAGAACAGCTCGAAGAGAACTTGTGACTGACCCAAGGTCACCCAGCAGGCTTCGTGTGGAGAAGACATGGGGAATCAAACCTGGTTCTCCAGATTAGAGTTCTGCCGCTCTTAACCACGACACCAGACTGGCTCTCTAGGCCTGGCTTTCCCATCTACCTGCTGCCACAGGAAGAGAGAGAAATGTTGGTTACAGGCTGTTTCCTCTACTGCTGAAGGAGCCAGCCAAGAGAAGCTACCCCCAGAAGACCTGAGACTACGGACGTTCAGAGTAGTCACATGCAATAACCCCAAATTTTGATAGCATCTCTAAGTTCCCCCTTTTTATTTTTAATAGTGAGCAGGCAGAACTATTCGGCAACAGATTTGGGTTTTTTTTAAAAGCCAAATTGTCCTGCAAACCCAGTGAAAAGCAGTTCTGTTGTTTGGTGTAGTGGTTAGCAGTGCAGACTCTAATCCGTGATAACCAAGTTTGATTACCCATTCTTCCACCTACAGCTGCTGGGTGACCTTGGGCAAGCCACAGTTCTCTCAGAGCTGTTCTCTCATGAGCAGTCACTGAGAGAGCTCCCCACCTACCTCACAGGGTGTCTGTTGTGGGGAGGGGAAGGGAAAGGAGTTTGTAAGCCGCTCTGAGACTCCGAGGGAAGGGCGGGGTCTCCTCCTCCTCCTCTCCTCATGAATGAGCAGACCTGTCCTGAGGCAAACCGAAGAACAAGAGCCAATACGTCCACTTACGTAGCCAGAAGGAGCTGCGGCCTGGGTCCTTTCCCGGGCTGGCTGCACCAGGCAACGGTGTTCACGACCGCTGGGTGGGAAAGGGAGTACAGGTGCTGCCAGCAACCCCCCAAGTGTCCCCAGAGCTTGACCGATTCTTCCTTTGCACACGTCATGAGTATCTTCCCAGTCGGGTCCCACTTCATGCTGACGATCGTGTCCTGAGGAAATTCAGCGAGGAGGGGCCAGTAAACATTTAGTAAAGCCTGCAAGACGGAGCTCTTCCACCAGGCCTTCAATTAGGAGGCGCCGCCACCAGTACCATCGCTAGTTGTAGAGCCCGACAGCTTGTGCCTGCCCATTCAGATACGAGAAGCTCAACAAGCTGAATACTCAGACAATCTATACAATGTATAGTGCCATCTATATGATAAAAGCATTGTTGCCAGCACCTTAGTTATAATGTGGTTTTAATAAATGATATTTGATGGCTATGTTTTACTGTGTAAGCCGCCCTGAGCCTGCTTAGACGGGGAGGGCGGAGTACAGATTTGAAGGAATAAATAATACATTTGAAGTAATAAATAATGTTTGTGTTTCAACACTGGGCCGGCAATGTGCACCTTATGCCTCGAAGCCCCTCCTGCGGGCCAGGTGAGCGGTCTTACCTTGTGTGCATCAACCAGAACAATCCCTCCTTTCTCCAGCGGCTCCCTCGTCCCTATCAGCAGCTTCCCATCCAGATAGCCGATCGCAAAAGGCTTGTCTTCACTGAACCAGGCCAGGCAGGTGACGGACACTGTGCGAGCAAGCCAGACAGGTGTCACTTGGCAAGCCCACTTCTTCAGCATGGGAGGAGTAAATCTTCACAAGGGATCTGTGTGGGCGGGCCCTGCTAGACAGCCTTTTGTTTCTGCGAGACAATTGACTTGGAGACTGTCTGTCCAGGATGCTACAGCAGCCAGAGCTGGTACTTAACCAGACGGGGCTGACGTTTTCCCGTTAGAAAGGAAGTCAACATCCATGTGGCTTCTGTAGCAGAGCCATAACTCTCTACCCATGACAGGCCCGAGAGAGAACCAGAAGGTCAGCCGGACCCCTGAGAATCAAACTGGGGAGACTCGGGAGCCTGGATGCCTCTGCCAACTTTGGCTTGCCAATTAAGAACTGGACTGAACAACGCAAGTCACCCCCCCCACACACACACCTTTTCCAGAGCAATCCCCACCCTTTTCCTTCCCAGCGTTTTGCACCGCACTCTGCCACTGGATGCTGCGGGTGGCCATGAACGAGACTCCGAGGGTTGCATAACCACCTTTCATCCGAGAGTCCCGGCTGAGCTCCTGCTTTCAGGGGCCGGAGACTTTCTCGGTTCAACTCAGCCTAGACAACTAGACCCCAACCCCATGACATGGGAGCTTAGGAGCACAATATAAGAGCACAGCGAGATCAGACCAGGGGTCCGTCTGGTCCAGCATCCCGTCTCACACATCCTTATCTCCTCTGGGTGGCCGGCAACTGGGCACACGGGGCCGAGGCCTCCCCCTGCTGTCGCCTCCCGGCTGTGGGATCCAGACCTCTGAATGTGGAGCTCCCAAGGACCACCCAAGGCCACTCACCGTCCTTCCGGTAGCAGTGCTCCAGTTCTACTCTGCGCATGGTAGAAATATCTGAAACTTCAATCAGCCCAAGAGACCCGTCTATGCGTCCGACGAGCAACAATTCCGGAGTCTCTCCCGTCCAGGCTGTCGCCGGACTTTCCTCGGGCCACGTGAGCGCGGACACCCAGTGAGGCTGAGTATCCAAGAGGCCTTTCCCACCTATGGAAAAACAAAAGGGACCTCGTATTCCACACAGCTGACGTCTCGGTGACTTCCCCGGCACGGAGCGGTCTCTCTCTCTCTCTCTCTCTCTCTGATGCAATTTTTAAAAATCTGCCATGCTCAAAGTGACTTACAGAACCAATTAAAACCAGCATTCCAGTAAAATAACATTAAAAAAAACACTGTAATGATTCCATGTGGTTTTTTTTGGGGGGGGGTGTCTTTAAATGTTGCGCTTGACTGCAGTAATGCAAGGAGGGCGATGGGGGAGATGAGATGAGTGCGCTGTGATTGGCTGATGACTGAGAGTGTGGGAGGAGAGATGTTCGGAGAGGAGTGTGTGTGTGTTTTAAGACAGAGTTCTGTGTGTGTGTCTTTGGAAAGTGACATGTGGAAGAGCTATGAAGAGAGTCTGTGTGACTCTAAAGGTTTTGTGAGAGCGTCTACATGGAAAAGAAACAAGTAGTGTCTAAACTGTGTGGTTAGACAAATGTTTTATCTTGTGTGCCTGAGACAAAGAGCTTAGC